CTTGTTTCATTTCATTATTATTATTATTATTATTATTATTATTATTATTATTTTGTATTATTGTTTTACACGTTTGAAATAAATCAAATCAAAAATACTGCAATGCCTTCAGGCTCCTGCCTCTGAAACACATGAAATACAGTAATGAGATCTGATGGAAGATGTTGAACCGTCTCGAGTTTCACAGCGGCTGTCAGCTGTGTTTACTCCTGTCATTCAAACAGGACGCGCTGGCCAGGAGGCGGGGCTTATCTCCATGAAGATACTGTGGTAGAAACCAACTACAACTAAATGAACATATTTTACCGTGATTTAATTGTAATACACGTTTCAAAATGATGCCGGAATAACTACATACTGATACCGGTTTGTAAATACCAGCTATTAATGCGTGTGTACACAAGACGGCAGGCGAAAAGGTATTAAATGTGTGTTTCCTGTATGGAGATCTTATCGATCAGGCTAAGCTAACATGTAGCTGCTCCCTCCAAACTCACAACAACGTCATACAGACAGAAATAAAGCAGCGACTGTATTCACCATGACACAGACAGTCTGTGGTTTGTTCGTGTTTAACTTTGTTCGTGTGCTAACAGCTAACGGCTAACAGCTAACGACTGATGTTTTGGTTTCCTGATTCAACATTAGTGACGTCACTGAGCTCCTCACCGCTGATTGGCTAACGTGCGAACACGTCACGCAAATGTGACGCTCGAGTTGAAAACATTTAACTCTCGCGATTGAAGCGGCCCCCGTCAATCGCCTCATCTGCGTCATTCGCGCCGCCGGAACAAATTTGCGTCTATCCGCGACTTCATATGTAATCACGCCCAAAGATCGCATCGCGTCCGGTGTGAACGCACCATATGGGGCGGGACTTCTCTAAGCGGTTAACCAATCACAACAGAGCTTCACATTTAATGCACTTTTTAAATGTATTTATCTCCTTTTCTTTTCTGCAGGATCGTCTAAATCACGATGGCCGACGACCTTTACAGCACCTTCTCAGCGTCAGAGTCGGACATCTCCTCCTCTTCCTCCTCCTCTTCCTCCTACCTGACCTTAGAACAGCGCGCCGCCTTCCTCTTCGTCCTCATCCTCTTCATCTTCCTCGGCCTTCTGATCGTGCGCTGTTTCCGGATCCTTCTAGACCCGTACCGCAGCATGCCGGCGTCCACCTGGACCGACTACATGGAGAAAGACACCTTCGATTACCGGATTTCCTGACAGGCAGCGTGAGGGGCAGCGACGCTGACGCAACACCGGTAAACTGAGGCGCGTCGAGGCAAAGCAGAAACACAGGCATCAGGAAAATAAACAAATATTGGGGGAAACTTGGGGCAAAAAAAACATATTTTCCCAGGACTTATAACACATTTTCAATTTAAGATTCAACTTTATCGCTAATCCTTTGCCAAAACAGTGCACTTATCCTTATTCTGTCTTATTTCTCAGCCTCTTCAGTGGCAGAAAATCAATGTTTATCCATTTTCTAAAGGAATTGGGACCAAAATAATGATTTTTCGAGGATTTATGCCACGTTTAATACCTTAAACTTGCCTCAAACAAGAAGATACTTATATATTTTGGAAACAAAACAGTTAACGCAAGAACCGACTTTAAATCAGTGTTTTTTCCGAGCCTGGGAAAGCTAAATCTTAAAACGTTCGCCTGGTGTTTCTGCTTCCTGTCTGACCGTCGCCTCAGTCTGCCTGGCAGGCAGGACATGTGGGCACAAAAAACTAAAACACACAGCATCCAAAAAGATAATGAAAAACAAACCTTATTTAATCAACGTTTCACTAATTATGGTCGTCATACGTGAAGATAATTTCCCCCACAAAAAATGTGTCAGGGAAGGACATCACCTGATTATAAAATACAATAATGAGAAAAATAGGAGAAAAACTTCCATTAAACAAAACAAAAGTGGAATATTTAGGATGATTTGAACTGTCTTTATCTGAGAAATCTACTTTTCTGAGGACATGTTGCTGTGATTTTTTGCCCAGATCCCAAAGTGATTAGAGATCCTCCTCAGGATTCAGCAGGAAACACAGAGTGAATATGAAGCTGTTGGAGGTATTTCTGTGATCTCTAACCTTTGTCTGACTGCCTGCCAGGCAGCGCGTTGGGCTTGCTGCTCCTCACCACAGAAAAACTTTTATTTATTTTTTTACGTTCTGTCCTCAAAGTTGACTCTTATTAACAGAAACTTGTGACGAGGACACACTGAGGTTTTTTTTCTGAAAGAGGACGAGACTGTTTTCCAAAACTGTTTACATTTAGTTACTTGTGTGTTTTGGTGCGAGCTGATGTTGAAACGCTGATCTGCAGCTCCGGAGACTAAATCCTGCCAAGGACATCGTGGAAAAACCTTCTTTTCTGGAACAAAACCAACAACCATTGGCTAGATTTTTGGTTGTCCAGTTCCCTAGAAATGGAGAAAAACTTGCCAGAGCCCCAGGTACGTTTGTATAAAAGCATCATTAATTCATTCATATGTTTACATTTAATTCAAAGTCCAGTGAAGATCCCAAAATCTCTGAAGATGTGTCAAATTTTGGAAATAAATTGCACAAAATGTCATAAAAATGTAGCTTTTTTTTTTAAGGCGGATGCTATTTGCACCCAGGTGTCTATAGCTAACAAAGCTTTATGCTTTTGAACGGCTGACAGTTTCATGGACTAGCTGGTTGTAGTTAAGGAGTCCATGTTTATGTCTAGGGCTTTTATTGTGAAAGGGAGATGCTTTTATTGTGAAAGGGAGATGCAATCCAGACCGAGGCTTTTTGGGATTCTGAACGCTATCTCATCTGCAGACGTTTCATTGTGAATTTCACATTTCCTTCATAACAAGAAGCCGCTGTTTGAATCAGCTGCTGATGTTTATCTTTTTGTTTTTATATTTTTGTTTTTATTTTTGTTCTTCCAGCTGCAGAGGCCTTCAGGCGTCCTGAAGAAAAACTCTCTGTTACAGGATCACCTTGGAGGAGGTCTGCCATCAAACCGCTGGATTTATTTCAGGTTCCTTTACCTCACGGCCCTGCTGGGGGTCTCAACCCTCAGATTGAGCAACCTTCACTTTGAGGAAGAAGTGTTGGAGGGTCTCCGGAGCGAAGCATCAAAACACGGATCATTTTATTTCTTTATTTCTGTCTTCTGATTGCAGCGGGGTCCGATCTGACTGCACTGGATTTATTTTTACATTTTTTGGTTGAAACTTTTCTTTTTGGTGCAGAAACGTGTGAACAGCAGGACGGCTGAGATCTACTGAAGAGTTTTTTATATCCTCACTGATGCAGATTCATTTTAAATGGTCCTTCTCTCTGTGTTTTATTTTCACTGTGTTTATTTTTATAGTGTCATCGAGTCGCCTGCTGAGCCTCAGGATTTCTGTTCATGCAGAAAAACTCACTTATTGAGGATCTGAGATGGAGTTTCTTTCTCAACGTGTTTTGGAGAAAAAGAAAATAACATTTCTGGCTCTTTTCTCCAAATTTGAATCGGAAAATGTGTCACCAAAAATGTACTCGACAAAAAAAAATCAAATTTTGAGCAGAATTTCTGCATTTGTTGTCTACGTTTTTTTATTTATGTAATTGCTTAAGAGGAACCTGTTTGTCTTAAAATCTCAGTTCACCTAAACTCAAATTTTGCCCGAATTTGGATTAGATGTATGCCCCTTATTTTCCCAATTTTGGTCTACATTTGGATAAAATATCTGTAGCAATTTGGACACATTTCAGCCTCTTTTGTCCAAATATTTTAAACAATTTCTGACAGAAGAGCCACTGGTTTGAACTTGTGTTCACCCTGTCTATTTGCTTGTTAATTTTCTATTTGTAGTCACGTTAATATAAGGAGGAGAAATCTTTGAATTGGGATTTTAAAATAGTCAAAATCGCTTTATTATGATAAACATTTTCCCCAAGATAGAACCAAAGGTCACCCTTCAATTTTGCTCATAATGTTGAATAATGCATCAGTTAATACACTTCATTTCTCCACAATACACACACACACACACACACACACACACACACACACACTCTCAGCAGCTCACTGCCAAACCCTCTTCCTGTCTCCACCCGTCTCCCTGGATGTCTTCACCTTTCTAATCTCAAACGCACCTTGATTCACTTTATCTGCCTCTCTTATCCGTCCTCTCCTCAATCTGACATTTCTTTACATTTCTTTTGGCTCCGCCTGGCTGACGGGTGAAATGCATTTGTGTTGCAGGAGAATATAAAGAAGATAAATACTCGATAAAACTCTCCTTACTCTGCTGTCAGATCTGCAGGATTTATTTAAGGTGTAGGACAGGTGTGTGCATACCTGTGTTTCACTGCGGGGACAATAGGTGTATATACCTAAATTGTGGGGACCAAGATCAGTTTAGACACCTACACTTTTGGGGATAACCTGTTCTTATACACCAACATTGTGGGGACCACGATATGTTTGGACACCTACATTTTGGGGATAACATGTTCTTTTACACCAACATTGTGGGGACCATCATATGTTTAGACACCTACATTTTGGGGACATGTTCTTATACACCAACATTGTGGGGACCATGATGTTTAGACACCTACATTTTGGGGACATTTTGTTATACACCTACATTTTGGGGACAACGATATGTTTTGACACCTACATTTTGGGGACATGTTTATTTAATTTTACCTTCGTAGGGACACATTGAAGTTTGCAAACCTACATTGTGGGGACTCGCTTGCCATTGGTTGTTTGACATTGCGGTGACAAAATATACACCTACACATTGTAGAGATACAGGCTGGGAGTTTTTGTAAAATAACATGGACTGTGACGAGGATGAAATACATCTGAGGGAAACATAACAAACATAAATCCATGAGACGGCAGTGAAGCCAAATCCATCGAGATAAACCTGAGAGACTCAGAGAAAGTGAGACGTCAATTAAGCTTCTGCAGAAACACAGAATCCACAGCTCATGTCTCCGTGCTCTAATGTTCAAAAAGCTCTTTATTTTCTCATACTGCCTGTGCTGCAGCTCCTCTTTTCACCCTCTGTCTGAAACCAGAGCCCAGTCTGCTCTGATTGGTTAGCTGGTTAGCATATCTGTTGTGATTGGTCAATGGCTTGGACATGTCCCGCCCCCTATCACGTACAATGTGTTGGAGCGCGATTATATTTACTTCACAAAAAAGTGTATACGTTGTTTTTCCTGCTAGAAACATTTCGAGTAAACACAGATTGATGTTTCTGTTAGCGCTCAAATAAATAAATAGCATTTAATATCAACGATCCAAAAACAGATGTTGATATCAGATTGGGAGAATACATTATAATATATATATAATAATATATATAATATCATCTTACTCTCTATATCATTACATAATGTATGTCATTTACTAAAACTATTCATTTCAACTTAATGCAAAAAATGTAATTCTCAAATTACATTTTTTAGAATCTTTTATTTCAAAATTAAACTTTAATATTTTGCATAAAATAATAAAAATAACGAAATATTATAATTGTTTAATGTTGTCCTCTCTGACCTTCCGTACTTGTATTGGTTTATTAACTTCAAATGTAATTTAATTACCTGTTGTTTTTATGGAAAGACGTCATTGATTTAAAAATTAAAACGCTTCAAACTAACGCCACAGTTTCTTAGCGATGCGTTCACTTGTCTCGTAAGTTTCAGCGTCTGAGCCCTTTATTGGCGCGTTTCCACTACAGCGTGCAGCCCGGTTTAAGAGGGCTGTGACGTCAGCGGCCCGTCTTTGGTTGCGTTTCCACTTGGCCTAGTACCGGCCGGCGGGTCCTAATTCACAGTTTTTCTGGCCTCATAAAATCGTGGGTCTAGGGCCAGAGACAACGAGGCTGAGTCGGGCTGAGTATGCTAAACTAGAGAGAGCGTCGCTGGCAAGGGGGCTACAACTACAACAAGATGGACATATTTGACCGTGATTTAATTGTAATACACGTTTCAAAATGATGCCGAAGTAACAACATACTGATACCGGTTAGTAAAAACCATGAATTAATGCTTTGTCAAGTCTGCAGACAGACGGCAGGGGAAAAACCTTTTAAAATGCTTGTTTTCTAAATGGAGATTGGCTAAGCTAACGCAGTATATGCTCCGACCGTCCACACTCACAACAACGGCCTATACAGACATAAATAAAGCAGCGACTGTATTCACCATGACACAGGCAGTCTGTGATTTGTACTTGTTTAACTTTTGTCTAGTTTCTGAACATATATGAGGAGCTGTGAGCTCTGAGTGCTAACAGCTAACGGCTGTGTTGTTTTTCTGGGGTTTCTCTGAAGATCACGTCACGGCTCCGCCTACACTGCGTTACTATAGATACTGCCCCAGTTCCTAAACTGTAATGGAAATGCGCCATAAAGTGAGCCAGTCCTAACAAGGCCCAGCCATACCGAGCGGGGCCGAGCGAGGCCGTGTAGTGGAAACGCGCCATAATTCTGCCGTCTGCCTTTCAGCCATCTTCCTCCTCCTCCTCCTGTTTAAAGCGATCTGTCGCTGCAGTTTTTTACCCTTTAAAGGAGTCTCTCGTTTTTAATATGCATTATATTTTATTTACAAACTGTAATTTTGTATGGCCTTTTCTGTGTCCATGCTCTCAGAGACGGCGTGAAACCTGACATGTTAGTTTCTTCGTGGTTTCTGGGAAGCACGGTCAAACTCAACCATTCAACACTTTTATTTTGAAAGTGCTCTTCATTGACATGTCTTGTAATCTGTGTTTAAAACTCCCGAAATTTGAGGGATCTCATAATCCTCAAAATAGAACACGCTGTGGTTTTTCAAAGTAAAACTACATTTTTAGTAATAAAATTGCAAAAATTGATCGCAAATGTTCGTCTTTCATCATTTCCTGTGAAATCTGGTCAAAAACATCAACATTGGTTTTCTTTTACCGTGCAGATTTCCCAGGCTTGTGTTTCGTTTTTTTACGGTGTTGGTGTGTGTTCAGGTTGTGCGTGTGTCTGCGTGTGTGTGTGTGTGTGTGTGTGTGTGTGTGTGTGTGTGTGTGTGTGTGTGTGCCTTCTGAGCTCTTTTATCTTTTATCTGCGCTCTTATTTTGTAAAAGAAATAAACTTCCTGATGGATCAAACTTTTTTTTGTCGTTTGTTTCTTCAGGTCGAAAACCAACAAATAACTCTGTCATTTATTTATTTTCACTAAAACCTAAAACCACTCTGCTGTTTGGTCTCAAGTAGTTTTATAAGAACATACCTTTAATGTTTAAAAACTGTAATATATTTATAATTTATAAAATCATTTCTCACTTTCATTTTCACATCTGCAAAACAATGTAATATATTTGAAATGAGAATGGTTAAGGTGCTTTGTGGATTGTTATTGTATTTAATATCTTTAATCTGTTTTTATTTAGTATTAACTCCAAACCCTCCTCTACGCGCTCAGACTCTCTTTCTCTCTCCACTTCTCTCTGAAGTCGTGCAGATGA